GGCGTGGAAAGCAGAGGCGGCCAGTTGCAGCCGCTGCCCGACGAGACCGAGCCGCCGAGCGCCCGTGCGCAGGCGGAGGTCCTCAACCGCAGACACGCTCGTGGGGCGCAGGAGGGCATACCAGTACTGTGCGCCCCCCCTGGAGTTTTGGATGCCATGACAATGGACACTCTAACAATGCTAGCATTGAATTAACGATGTGTTTACGATGGGTAAAACATGTTCTAAAAATGTTTCAAACATGTGTTCACCAGGTTTAAAACGTATTTGAAACATGGTTAGACATCTGGAAATGATTTGGCAGAATGCTTCCTCTCCATTAATCATATTCCACAATCCTGGAGGCGCACGTCCGAACCGAACGTGCAGTACAGACGTCTTATAGCACACCGCTTCCCGAGCGGCATGGCCAGAAAGCACCGCCACGGAGCCTGTACAAAAAAAATGTCAGCATGTGCGCGTCGCCCCCACGGGGGCCGACGCACACACACACACAGCAGAAGCATGTCTGGGTGGTGCCGAGCTCAACCGCAGAAATCGTGGACGAAAAACATGTCATTTACGATCAAGCTAGGCCGAAAACCTGTGCAGACGAATAAATTCAAAAGCGTGTATACGAGAACTAGCAGACGCTAGGTCTGAGCGAGCGCCACTTCGTCAAGTGCCACCTTTGTGCGCAGCCTTTTCGTGCGAAAAACATATCCGTATCCGCGGCCTCGCGGGCTGGGCCCCCAGCCGCGACCCCCGCGGCTACGAGGCGATTTGTTTCTCAGCTGCCCCGCGCGGAACGCATCCGCGCGAGCGGGATCGCGCCCGCGAATCCAGACCGCGAGGGCGCGGACACTGCTGTGGATGCCATGACAAGGGACACTCTAACAAACAGATCATCGAATAAAGATGTGCTTAAAATATGTAAAACATGTTCTCAAAACGTTTCAAGCATGTTTTAAAATATAAAAACATGTTTGAAACATCCTCTAGACATCTGGAGATTATTTGCCAGCATGCTTCCTCTCCATTCATCGTCCTCCAGAAAGATTTTGATCTGTTCGCCGCTCGCAAAGCTCGCATTGTAGAGCAGATCAGGACGGGAGGCATTTTGGTCGTCTCGAGCCTCTGGTGGCCCTCGCTGGGCCCCAGGACCGCCAAAAAACAACTCGGGTTAAGTCGGGCCTGTCCTCCTACAGGGAGATCTTCGACGAAAAAATACTCAAAAAATATTCCGAAATGGTCAAAACTAGTCAGAAAATCGTCCCCAGACTATTTTTTGACTATTACTCCCCCTGTAGAGGGACAGGCCCGACTTAGAGCCAGTCCTGGAAAAAAAGGGTCGGGACTCCCAGGAACCGCGTGTTGAAAAAGTCGAGACATCGCATGTCTGGGTCCGCAGATGATGAAGAATCCTGGAGGCCTCGCGCGGCAACTTGAGGCCCTGTGCGCGTCGGATCCACGTCGGATTTACGTCTGGCTCACGTCGGGTTGTATCGGACTGACGTCGGGTTCACGTAGTCACGTCGGATCCACGCCAGACTTTCGTCGGAGCAGCACCGAGCGAACGTCGACCAGTATCTGACGGGGCGCCAGTGCGGACCGAACGCCACGGCTCTTGCGCACCGCGCGAAGCCTCCAGGATTTCCCCCATGGCGCAGGAGGGGCGGGCCGCACACCTTCGCCGTGCCCTCGGTGGCGCGAAGAGGGGGGGCCCCGAGATCGGGGCGTTGCAATTTTCTCACACTGGGCGCTTTCGCTGGGCGTCGGGACCCAGGGCCATCACAGCTCTATCTGGCTCCAACAGAAAAAACGCTGCAGAAAGGTGGGGTCGAGGTTCCCAGTTGTTCGATCCCGGCGGGCTCGGCTCGAACTTGGCCCAGGACTAGGACAAAATCGAGCGGTATCCCTGAGATCCAGCGGTTCCGGAAGGTATTTCGGGCGCCGCGGCCCTTCCGGGAGCCTGTTTTTTTTTAGACTCTGGCAAGTTTACTTGCATGGACGGGGGGGGGGGGCTGAGCCTGAAGCAAGCCCGGGGGGGGGGCGCGCGGAAATCACGCAAGTCGAAAGGCACTTGCACGCTGGTATTCGCTTGAAGAGGGGCGAGGGGGGGGGACGAACGCCATGCAAGTAAACTTGCCTGAATCCAAAAAAACAGGCTCGGGCGCCGCGGCCCTTCCAGGGCGCTCCGGAACGCTCTGGAAAGATTTATTCTCCCGGCCCGTCCCTGGCCAGAGCCGTCCCGAGCCCTCCGCAGCCTGTCCCCGTCCCCTCGGAGGTTCCAGGAGGGGACCCTGAGAGATGGGATCCTGAGGACAGGGATGAAGGGGCCCAAGGACACACAAATAAATACACACAAATAAAAATATTCCCCATATTTTCCCATATTGTCTGGGTTTTGTCTTCCCCCCCACTTCCCATATTTTCCCATATTTTCTGGGGGATCGAGGATTAATTGTGTCTGTGTGTTTCCTTTCCTCCTGAAGGGAGGGGATCGCAAGCTGAACCCGCACTGTCTGAGGCCACTCGTCAATGGGGCCCGACCCCTCGAGGCCCCCTCTTGGAAGCGCCGATCCCCGGCCGGGGCCGTCCGGGGGCTGGCGGGGTGGCGCAGAGGCCCTGACATGCTTTGGAGGCCTGGAAATGGGCACCAACACCAAGACAGGGGGCTGCCTCCACAGGGGGGAGATGATCCTGGATTTCGGTGTTGGTGGTAACATTTCGGACACCTTGGAAGCCGGAATATTGCCACCATCACCGAGATCGGGATCTTCTTCCCTCGGTGGAGGAACACCGCCGATATTGGTGCTGGTGTCAACCTCTAGGCCTGCGAATGTTCGCATCGTGGAGAAAGCACGACGGGAGGTTGCTGGCCGTTGTCCGCCGAGACTTCTGGGTGAGCGTGTTTTCGTACGATTCGCGGCAACGCCCGTGACCGGCCCCGCACCCCCTCCCGCCCCCCCCAGTCACGCCAAGGTTCGCGCGGGCGCCGTCTGGGAACTAGCCATTCCTGGCGGCGCGGGCGCGCATCGTGGCGTGAAACGGTATCCTCCCCCCCCGCCGCCAGTCACGCCCGTTGCTGCCCCGTAGTGCAGTCAACCCGTGGGATAAGGATGTGCGAGAAGGACGCAAGGGCCTTGGACGCGCCTTTCGCAGCTTCTCGAGCGGGGCGCGGCCAACGAGAGCAGGCAAGGATGGGCCGAAGGGCAAGGATGCAAGGGTACCCCTGGGAAGGTTGCCCAGCCTTACTGTGCGGGTTGACTGTAGGACAAACAGAGCAACAGCTGTCTGTGTTCTGGACCTCCCGGCCCAGCGCCGGCAGGGCCCGTGCACCATCCGAGGGCCCTGGAGGACCCCCGGCCAGGGGCGGCGGTGTGTGCGGCCCGCCTTCTGGGCCCACGAGAGCAGTCCTCGCGCAGCACCTGTCGGCCACGCGCAGAGGGGGGCATGAGGAGGGGGGATGGCTGTAAGGCCGCCGCCTTCTAAGAAGCAGGGGTGCTACTAAGAAGCCTTGCCCCCTCCCCCTGCCCCCCTTGTGCGCGCCGCCAAACCTGGGAGGGGCCCGAAAGAGGCACCAAGTCGCCCGGCCGTCATAGGAGCTCGCTGCACGGACGCGTCCTGGCTGCCCAAATCCCCTCGGGTCACGAAAGAACCACGACGGGAGGCTTGTGGCAATGTTCGGCCGCTGGGGACCCTCGCCGGGGCCCCGGACCGTCAAAAAACAACTCAGGCTGAAAAAACCATTCTGGAAATTGAGACGCCTCCGCGTCCACGTCATGAAAAAATCTTGACATCGAGGGTCTTGGTGACCAGGCTGTGGGATGCTCTAAAGCGCATGTGCACCGAACTCCTTCGAAGAACTCCTGACCCCGTTGGCTGGCCAAACGGGGTGGTTTGCAGCCTGGGATCCGAAGTGGAGCAAGCACGGCAACATCGCAAGAACAAAGCACAAAAACACAAGGTGGAAACAAAAAAACAAGCAGACCCCATCTTTCTGCTTCAGCTTCGAATCTGCATCGGTCTGTGATGGTCATGGGGCCCGAGGCAGAGCGAAATTGCCTGGGGCAAAAGAGTTACGACGCCGGGATCCCGGGACATCATCAGAGGTCTGGGCCTCTTCCTCGCTCCTGACCCGGTGATGGTCCCAGGGGCCGAGACCAGCGAACAAGCCTGGTGAAAGGATTGCAGCGCCCGGATCTCGGGTCCCGTCTTCGCACCGCCGAGGGCACGGAGGTGATGTGCGGCCCGCCCCCACTTCTGAGCCAGACATTGGGCGCCCGAATTATCCGGGGTAACTCGGGTCCGGGGTAACTCGGGTTTGGATTCCCGAAAAAGGAACCCGAGTTAGCCCTGATCCGAGTTACCCCTGATGATTCGGGGCTCTGGACGCCCGAATTATCAGGGGTAACTCGGGTCCAGGGTAAGTCGGGTTCGGATTCCCGAAAAAGGAACCCGAGTTAGCCCTGACCCGAGTTACCCCTGATGATTCGGGGCTCTGAAGACATGCGATGTCCTGATGTTTTCATTACGGAGGAATCGGAAATTCCGTCCCATTCCGCAGGACCCACTTTTCATCCCGGGTCGTTTTCAGAAGGCTCCAGGCGAAAGCCGAAGACTGCCAAAAACCTCCCGCCGTGCTTGTTTCCCTACGAGGGGAAGTAGGGTACTTGAGCAGGGACCGACCGCCCCAGCATTCCTATAGGCCAACCACGACATGCTCCTAGAACCCCAAATGCCCCAAGAACCGAAGCACTGCTCTTAGAAGACAAGCCCGATGCATCGAAACAACACAGCAACAGCCAAAAATGCTACAAGGACACGTCGCGCAGACCCCACAAGGTTCTCTCGCCATCGCTCGGACGTCCATTCCCTGTGTTTTTGTTCGGTTTCGTGCGCGTTTTTATGGCAGGATGATCCAGGATACTCCTTAATAATCCCCGCCGAGAAAAGAGTGCACACGTCCGAGCGGTACCAAGTGCTTACAACATGCGTTGCTGGGCGAGCCCGAGCACCGCGGCCACCGGCGCGACGTCGCCGCAGCCGGCGCCCAGCGCCAGCTCGACCCCCGGAAGGCCGAAGCCGCGCAGGGCGGGCACGGGCGGCGCGGGGCCCCCGGGGCACACCGCCGGGCACTGCGCGCCCCCGCAGAGCCTCGGAGCATCGTTGGACAGACCCCCATCGGGTCCTCCTCGAACCTCTTCGAGCCTCGTCCTCGATCCCCCTCCTCCTCCTCCTCCTCCTCCTCCTCCTCCTCCTCCTGCTCCTCCTCCTCCTCCTCCTCGTCCTCGGACGTCTATTGATTTTTGGTGTGGGAACGTCACCTTTGCGATAGAAAAAACATCGAACACCAAGAAAACCAGGACACCCTGGAGGCAAGCAGAGTGTTTCTTGGCATGGGTTTCCACTGTATCCCCCCAGACCCCATCGGGTCATGAAAAAATCACGACGGTGGATTTTTGGCAAACTTCGGCCTCTGGGGGCCCTTGCTGGGCCCCGGGACCGTCAAGACCAGAATGAAAGACTGGTCCCAGGGAATGGGTCGAGCCTTTGGGGGGTCCACGTCATGAAGAAAACATGACGTTTGGGGCCTGGGCCACTGGCGTGGCTTTGGCCCCACTGGCCGACATAGTTACCCTGAGATCATGGCGTCTCATTTTGTTCGAGCCAGGTGTTGTCGCGCGAATTCGGGCCCGAGGACCCTCGCAGATCGATCCAGCTCGAAGAATGCCGCAAAGAGATGGGGTCCAGGACTCTGGTCGTGATTCTTCACGGTGTCTCATTTTTGTTCGCGCCGTCGAATCTCAAGGTACGTCGGGGCAGGGGTGGGGCACGTTGGGGCGGGGGTGCGCTGCGATCGCCACAGTTTGCGCGCGAGCGCCAACATGTGGGGGGGGGCCAGCCCCTCCCCACGCACGATCGTTACAGTCTACGCGGATAGTAAGAATGCGCGATAAGGATGCAAAGGCCTTGGACGCCCATTTCGAAACGAGTCGAGCGGGGAACGACCAACGAAAGTATCCAAGGATGGACCCGGGAGGCAAGGATGCAAAGGTACCCTTGGGAAGGATGCCTATCCCTACCTGGGTAGTCGAAGCCAATCTGGCGCCAATATGGCAGGCCCAATCTGGCAAACGGGGGCAATCTGGCGAGGGAGCCAGCGCGAATCCAGTCTGGCGAGTAACCCAAATCATCCAGTTTGGCCGGGCCAGATTGGCCCTTGGGGCCCAATCCAATCTGACAGTCTGGCCTTCGAGTACCCAGCCTACTATGCGGGTCGACTGTACCATTACCCAGGGGCAGGAAGGGGTTAGACTCAGATAACGACCCTCCAAGACAAGCCATTTTAGACCCCCCCCCGTGGGAGAACCCTCCAAAACATCGTCCCCAAACCCCCCCCAGGCCCTCCAAGATAGCCTGGAAGAGACCCCCCCGAAATGAGACCCCCCTCCCTTTATTACGAAATCTGGAGTACCCAGGGGCAGGAAGGGGTTAGACTCAGATAACGACCGTGGCGCGCCAGGAGGATCCGCCGACCCTCGCCTGCCGGTGGCGAACAGGCGCGCGAGGCAGTTGGCCGCCCCCCTCCCCCAAAAAAAGCCCCAGGAGGGCCCAGGCAGAGCGCCAAGACAGAGCGCCAGGGCAGTCACCCTTCTCCTCATCCTCCTCCCCCTCGCCTGCCGGTGGCGAACAGGCGCGTGAGGCACTTGGCTGCCCCCCTCCCCCAAAAAAAAACCAGGTGAGAGACCAGACAGAGCGCCCAGACAGAGCGCCAAGGCAGTCCTCCTCCTCCTCCTCCTCCTCCTCCTCCTCCTCCTCCTCCTCCTCCTCCTCCCCCTCGCCCTCCTCATCCCCCACTGCCTCCCCCTCGTGTTCCCCGAAGGAGTTCCACAACTTGGCACAGACGTTTGGCCACGCGCATGGGCGGCCACGAGTTGCCGAGAAACCGAGGGCCGACCGAACCGATGACGAAACCGAAACCGATCGAAACCGAAAGGGGGCCTGCAGAACCGAATCAGCCGACCGAAACCGACCGAACGCGAAAACCGAACTGCAGGGTCACAGTGGCGCAGCCGGCATGCGCTCTCGCTCCCCGCGACGGCGCACCCCTCACACGCTTCATGGCCCCATCAGAGCTCCGCTAAAATTCCCAGCGGCGCAGCCCGCGCGCGCCCCCGCAAGGAACTTCGGCGAACCCCTCGCAAGTTTCGCAAGGATCGCGAGCAAGAGCGCGGGGGACATCCTGGGCATCGGTCGGGCGCTCCCAGAAGCAGCGCGCTGGAAGCCGGGCTCTCGAGGGAAGTTCGGGCCAGACGGGCGGCGGAAGCGGCGGATGTCTGAATCTCGGCGGACTTCCAAACCCCCAGGACCCGAAAATCAATTTCTCGAGCTCCGGAGCCCCCGGCAGCCGAAACAACATTTTTCGAGGCCCGAAAAATTGTTTTTCTCTCCCCGGTTTTTCGGCGCCTCCAGGGAGCCTCCGGAGTCCCCCGGAACCGAAAAAACATTTTTCGAGGCTTGAAAAATTGTTTTTCTCTCCCCGGGGCCTTCGGCGCCTCCAGGGAGCCTCCAGAGCCCCCGAAAGCATCTTTCGAGGCCTGAAAAATTGTTTTCCTCTCCCCAGGGCCTTCGGCGCCTCCAGGGAGCCTCTGGAGCTCCGGAAAGCCATAACAGCATTTTTCGAGACCCAAAAAATTGTTTTCCTCTCCCCCGGGGCCTTCGGCGCCTCCAGGGAGCCTCCAGAGGCCCCGGAAGCCGAAAAACATGCTTCGGGGGCTGAAAAATTGTTTTTCTCTCCCCGGAGCCTTCGGCGCCTCCATGGAGCCTCCGGAACCCCCACGAGCCGAAAAAACATTTTTCGAGGCCAGAAAAAATGTTTTCTCTCCCCGCGGGGCCTTCGGCGCCTCCGGGGAGCCTCCGGAATTCCCGTGGAAGAAGCGTTTTCGAAGCCTGGCCACGGGGCAAGATTTATCCGGCCAACGATGCGCCACTGCGCGCATCCGGCCAATCAGCCAACCAACCTCCTTGCTCCTGCTCCTGCTCCTCCTCCTCCTGCTCCTCTCCTCCTCCTGCTCCTCCACCTCCTCCTCCTCTTCCTCCTCCCTTTTTCTTCAAAGGGAAAGGCCAAGCGGAATCAGATCGGCGCGAATCCGTGGGCAGCGAAACCGAACTGGAAACCGGCGGCCGATTCGATCCCCTGGGCCGGCACGAGGCGCCAGCGAGGCGCCCGCGGCGAAACCGAATCAACCGAAGTAACCGAAGAGGGCGCGACGACGCAGGGACTCCGCAACAACCGAACCGACCGAACCGATCGATTCTAACCGACACCGACGCAACCGAACCGACCGGTTCGCGGCCGTCCATGACACAGGCGTATCCTAAAAGGCAGGGTGCGGCGGTGATTCGCCGCAGGCGTCCTCGATCCGCCGCCCCCTGAGGCATGCTGCAGGAGGAGGAGGAGGAGGAGGAGGAGGAGGAGGAGGAGGAGGAGGGGGAGGAGAAGGGAGGAGGAGGGGGAGGGGGAGGAGGAGATGGAGGAGAAGGGGGAGGAGGAGGGGGGAGGAGGAGGAGGAGGAGGAGGAGGAGGAGGAGGAGGAGGAGGAGGAGGAGGAGGAGCAGAAGCAGGCGGAAGAGGAGGAGGAGGAGATGAATGCCTGACATGCTAAATGTCTGATGGTTTTTGGTTATGTTAGATTTCCCCCTGGGGCTCGGGCCCCTTGCGCCGGCCGCCTGGGTTACTTGCCCAGAGGTGGTTGGCCTCCAAAGATGGCCAGAGATGGCCAAAGATGGCCTCCAAGACGGCCAAGATGACCCCAAGAGAGCCCAAGATGGCCCCAAGATGGCCCCACGATGCACCCAAGACGGCCAAAGATGCACCCACGACGGCAAAAAATGGCCCCAAGATGGCCAAAGAGGCCACCTAAGAGGCCTCCAAAGAGCCTCCAGGATGACCCGAGGAGGGAAACATGATCAAATTCCCGTTTGTTTTTGAAGAATTCTGGCAGCCCACCCAGAAGGGACGGGAACAACCTCAACGTCTGGACAAAAAGAAGACGGCTCAAGATGGCCCAAGATGACCTCCAAGACGGCCAAGATTGCCAAAAGAGAGCCCAAGATGGCCCCAAGATGCAACCAAGACGGCCAAAGATGCACCCAAGACAACCAAAGATGGCCTCAAGATGGCCCAAGACAGCCCAAGAGATCCCATGAGAGGCCTCCAAGACGACCCAAGAGGCCTCCAAAAGAGCCTCCAGGAAAACCCGAGGAGGGAAACAGTACTTTGGCATTCGCTTCTGTTCGGCTTTCCGACAGCCCAAGACGGCCCAAGAGGCGCCAAAGATCGGCCCTAAGATCGCCCAAGAGGCCTCACGATGTCCCCACAACGGCCCAAAAGACCACCAAGACGGCCCTAAGAAGGTCCCAAGACGGCCCCTGAGGGCTCCAAGACACTCAAGATGGCCTCCAAGACGGCCCTGAAACACACCAAAGGGCCCCAAGAGACCCTCAAGACGCCTTCCGACGGCGTCTGACGAGCCAGGACCGCCCTAAGACGACCAAAGAGGCTCTCAAAAAGCCCCCAAAGCCCCCCAAGAGGCCCAACGAGGCCCCCTTCATCAAAGGCATCCAAGAGACGCCCAGGAAACTCCCAGGAGGCCCCAAGAGTGTCCCAAGTGGCTTCCAAGAGGCCTTCTTCTCCTTCTCCTCCTCCTTTATTTGTCCCTCTCCTCATCCTCCACTTCCTTCCCCCACGTGTTCCCCGAAGGATTTCCACAACAGCTGAAAGAACGCATGATCCAGCAGCGTGCCAAAAATTTGTCCAAACCGGTGATTCGCCGTGGGCGACTTCGATCCCCGGCCCCCTGTTGATTTATCACAGGTGTGCCTGGCGTGCAGAACGTCGGATGGGTTATGGTTCTTTCGAATAAACCCCCCATGAGGCTTCGGTCCATTGCGCCGCCCACCCAGAAGGGACGGGAACAACCTCAACGTCTGGACAAAAAGAAGACGGCTCAAGATGGCCCAAGATGACCTCCAAGACGGCCAAGATGGCCAAAAGAGAGCCCAAGATGGCCCCAAGAAGCACCCAAGACGGCCAAAGATGCACCCAAGACAACCAAAGATGGCCTCAAGATGGCCCAAGACAGCCCAAGGGATCCCATGAGAGGCCTCCAAGACGACCCAAGAGGCCTCCAAAAGAGCCTCCAGGAAGACCCGAGGAGGGAAACAATACTTTGGCATTCGCTTCTTCTCGGCTTTCCGACAGCCCAAGACGGCCCAAGAGGCCCCAAAGATCGCCCTAAGATCGCCCAAGATGACCTCCAAGATGGCCCTACAACGGCCCAAAAGGCCACCAAGATGGCCCCAAGACGGCCCCAGAGGTCTCCAAGACGCCCCAAGAGGCCTCCAAAAGAGCCTCCAGGAAAACCCGAGGAGGGAAGCAGTACTTTGGCATTCGCTTCTGTTCGGCTTTCCGACAGCCCAAGACGGCCCAAGAGGCACCAAAGATCGGCCCTAAGATCGCCCAAGAGGCCTCACGATGTCCCCACAACGGCCCAAAAGGCCTCCAGGACGACCCCAAGAAGGTCCCAAGACGGCCCCTGAGGCCTCCAAGACGCTCAAGATGGCCTCCGAGACGGCCCTGAAACACCCCAAGAGGGCCCCAAGAGACCCTCAAGACGCCTTCCGACGGCGTCTGACGGGCCAGGACCGCCCTAAGACGGCCAAAGAGGCTCCCAAGAAGCCCCCGAAAGCCCCCCAAGAGGCCCAACGAGGCCCCCTTCATCAAAGGCATCCAAGAGACGCCCAGGAAACTCCCAGGAGGCCCCAAGAGTGTCCCAAGTGGCTTCCAAGAGGCCTTCTTCTCCTTCTCCTCCTCCTTTATTTGTCCCTCTCCTCATCCTCCACTTCCTTCCCCCACGTGTTCCCCGAAGGATTTCCACAACAGCTGGGAGAACGCATGATCCAGCAGCGTGCCAAAAATTTGTCCAAACCGGTGATTCGCCGTGGGCGACTTCGACCCCTGGCCTCCTGTTGATTTATCACAGGTGTGCCCGGCGTGCAGAACGTCGGATGGGTTATGGTTCTTTCGAATAAACTCCCCATGAGGTTTCGGTCCATTGCGCCGCCCACCCAGAAGGGACGGGAACAACCTCAACGTCTGGACAAAAAGGAGACGGCTCAAGATGGCCCAAGACGACCTCCAAGACGGCCAAGATGGCCAAAAGAGAGCCCAAGATGGCCCCAAGATGCACCCAAGACGGCCAAAGATGCACCCAAGACAACCAAAGATGGCCTCAAGATGGCCCAAGACAGCCCAAGGGATCCCATGAGAGGCCTCCAAGACGACCCAAGAGGCCTCCAAAAGAGCCTCCAGGAAGACCCGAGGAGGGAAACAATACTTTGGCATTCGATTATGTTCGGCTTTCCGACAGCCCAAGACGGCCCAAGAGGCCCCAAAGATCGCCCTAAGATGCCCCAAGAGGCCTCCAAGATGGCCCCATAACGGCCCAAAAGGCCTCCAAGACGGCCCCAGAGGTCTCCAAGACGCCCACGATGGCCTCCGAGACGGCCCTGAAACGCCCCAAGAGGGCCCCAAGAGACCCTCAAGACGCCTTCCGACGGTGTCTGACGGGCCAGGACCGCCCTAAGACGACCAAAGATGCTCTCAAAAAGCCCCCAAAGCCCCCCAAGAGGCCCAACGAGGCCCCCTTCATCAGAGGCATCCAAGACGGCTTCCGACGGCGTCTGACGGCCCAGGACCGCCCTAAGACGGCCAAAGAGGCTCCCAAGAAGCCCCCAAAGCCCCCCGGGGCCCAACGAGGCCCCCTAATAAGAGGCATCTAAGAGACCCCCAGGAAACTCCCAGGAGGCCCCAAGAGTGCCCCAAGTGGCTCCCAAGAGGCCTCCTCCTCCTTCTCCTCCTCCCTTTTTCTTCCCTCCCTCATCCTCTTCTTCCTTCCCCCACGTGTTCCTCGTAGGGTTTCCACAACGGCTGGGGGAACGCATGGTCCAATAACGCGCCTAAACTTTGCCCACTCGTTTGGCCACATAGGCGTATCCTGCAGGTAAGGGGCCACATGCGAACCCTACCCCTTCCCCCCACGACTTCTGAGGAGGAGGGTGGGGTTCACTTCGCTCGAGAGCTCCCGAACGAAGTGAACTCCACCCTCCCCCTCAGAAATCGTGGGGGGTAGTGGTAGGGTTCGCATGTGGGGCGGCGGTGATTCGACGTAGGCGTCTTCGATCCGCCGCCACCTGTGGCTTGCAACAGGGGTGCCCGTCATGCTAAATATCGAATGGTTCTTCGTTCTGTTCAAATTCTCCCTGGGGCTTCGGCCCCTTGCGGCGGACGCCCGGCCTGCTTACCAGGAGGTAGTTGGCAAGGATTTCTCCGCGCCAGATCGGTACAAGATGGCCCAAGATAGCCTCCAAGACGGCCAAGATGACTTGCACGTTCGCGCAAGATGGTCCAAAATGATCTCCTTGACGGCCCAAGAGGGTCCAAGATGCCTCCTGGTCTGCCCAAGAAGACGGCTCAAGAGGCCTCCAAGCAGGAGAGCCCGAAGAGGCCAAAATGGTTGATTGTCCTGAGGTGTTTGGAAGATGTTGCCCTGTGCTTCTCTTCGGCCTTCCGACGGCCTAAGACAGCCCTAAGATCGCCCCAAGATGGCCCCAAAGGCTTCCAAAATGACCCCATGACGGCCCAAGAAGCCTCCAAGACGGCCCCAAGAGGGCCTCAAGGCGGCCCAAAGGCCTCTAAGACACCCAGGATGGCCTCCAAGACGACCCTGAAGCGCCCCGAGAGGGCCCAAAATCGATTCAGAGAGGCCCCCAAGACGGCTTCCGACGGCGCCTGACGGGCCAGGAACGCCCTCAGACGGCTAAAGAGGCCCCCAAGAAGCCCCAAGAGGCCCCCACGAGGCCCAAAGGAGGCTTCCAAGAGGCCTCCGAGAAATCCCACAAGCTCCCAGAAGGCCCCACAAGCTTTCCTCCTGCTCCTCCCTCCTCCCCCATCTCCTCCTCCTCCTCCTCCTCCTCCTCCTCCTCCTCGTCCTCGTCCTCCTCCTCTACCTCCTCCTCCTCCCTCCCTCGCTCCCGCCCGCCCGCCCTCCCTCCCTCCCTCCATCCTTCCTCCTCCCTCCTCCTCCTCCTTCCTCCCTTCTCCTCCCGCCTCCTCCCTCCTCCTCCCGACTCAATCCTCCTCCCTTCTCCACCCTCCTCCTGCCTCCTCCTCGCTCCCTCTCCTCCCTCCTCCTCTTGCGCTTCGTCTTGTTAGTAGTATCGTACTCGTACTACGCATTCGTAGTATGATTCGTAAGAATCGCGTTACTCATCTTATGGTTCGTACTATGATTGCTCCATTAATTCGCATGAGTATCCGTAGTAAAACTGGTCGTATTGTTACTACTAGTATTAAGAAATAATACTGCTTATACTACGACTCGCATTCGTAATACGATTCCTATGCTTCATATATATATATATATATCATTAGTATTATGAGTGGATGTCGATGTTTACATTCGTAGTGTCAGTCATCATATTGTCCTTATCAGTCGCACCAGATTGTTACTATAATTGTATTACTCGTATGATTCCTCCTCCTCCTTCTATTATTCTCTCTCTCTCTCTCTCCTCCCCTTCTCATTTCTCCCAAACGTGTTCCCCGAAGGGTTTCCACAACGGCTAGAGGACCACATGGTCTGATAGCTTGGCAGAGCTTTGGCCACAGCGTTCGGCCACATGGGCGATTACAAAAGGCAGGGGGCGGCGGTGATTCGCCGCAAGCGTCTTCGATCCGCCGCCCCTTGTTGAATAATCACAGGGGTGCATGGCTTGCTAGACTTCTGGTGGTTTCTGGTATGTTCAAACTCCGCCTGGGACTTCGGTCCAACCCGCCGGCCACACGGAAAGCTCGCAAAATCCATCTCTCGTTAGTTAAATCGCTTCAGAGACGCCCAAGATAACCCAAGATGGCCTCCAAGATGCCTCCAAGACACTTCTTAGACGGCCAAGATGGCTCCAAGAGAGCCCAAGATGGCTGCAAGATGCACCCAAGACTGCCCAAGATGCACCCCAGACGGCCCAAGATGGCTTCAGGATGGCCCCAGACGGTCCCAGAGGCCCCCAAGAGGCCTCCAAGACGGCCCAAAGGGGTCCTGCAGGAAGGCCCGAAAAAAACAAACTCATTGACTTCTCTTAGGCTTTAAAAGAATGTTGGCAGTTGCTTCTTCTCTGTCTTCCGAAGGCCCAGGACGGCCCCAGAGGCCTCCAATATCGCCTCAATGTCGCCCAAGAGGTCTCCAAGAGGCCTCCAAGACGGCCCAAAGAGGGCCAATTTGGCCCCAGATCGTCTCGAAGACACCCAAGATAGCCCCCGAGACGGCCCTGAGGCGACCCAAGAGAGCCCAAAAACGGCCAACAAAAGGCCCCCAGGACGGCGTCCGAGGGCGTGAAACGGGCCTGGAACGCCCGAAGAAGGCCATAGAGGCTTCTAAAAGGCCCCCAAAGGCCCCCAAGAGGCCTCCAAGAGGCCTCCAAGAGGCTCACAGGAGGCCCCAAGAATGACCCAATAAGCTCCCAGGAGGTCTCCTCATCCTTCTCCTCATCCTCCTGTTTCTCCCCTCTCCTCATCCTCCTCTTCCTCCCCAACGTGTTCCAGAAAGCTCTTCGATCACGGCTAGGGAACTCATGGTCCAATGGCGTGGCCAAACATTGCCCAAACGTTTGGCCACTTTGGCGTATCCTAAACGGCAGGTGGAGGCGGCGATTCGCCGTAGGCGTCTTCGCTGACAAACTTCCACGAAATTCGCAAGCTCTGGCTTCTTCTGAGGGTCGGCGGAATGGCGTAAGCCACTTGACTAAAGACAACAAATAAAAACTCATGGGTGGGGGTGTCTGCCCGTTCCTTCGGGTGTCGCAAGGCCCAACCCCCACCCTGAGAGGGTGGGCTGGTGGGACCGAGACAACATATGGCGCAGTGGGGATGGGGCCAGGCTTGACGATGCGGAGCCTCTGCCAGGCGCGGGCCAGCACCACCTCCAGCTCGAGCCCGCCGTGCGGCCTCGGCCAGTCCCGCGACTCCTGCCGGCCGCCGCCAGGGAGGGCGCCCCTTCGCCTCCTCGCGCTGCGAAAAAACACGACGGGGAAGGGGGGGGGGAAGGCCCTCGATCACCTCCTCCTCCTCCTCCTCCCTCCTCCTCCTCCTCCTCCTCCTCCTCCTCCTCCTCCTCCTCCTCCTCCTCCTCCTCCTCCTCCTCCTCCTCCTCCTCCTCCTCCTCCTGGCCTCTGGGGGGGCGCTCGCCAGGCCCCGGGGCCGTCAGAAAACGGCGCAGGAACGAAACGCCAGTCCCGGGGAAGGAAGCCAGATCTGCGGGGGTCCACGTTCTGAGGAAAACGCGCAACGTCGGAGTTCTGACTACCTACCAGACCACCCCAACCCAACCCGAAGACCCGAATTTGACCCGAATTTCGGGTTGGGGGGGTACGGATTCCATGTGTTTTCTCAACGTTCCCCGACCCCCCCCCACTGGAAATCGAGGATAAATTGAGGCCTTCGGGTTGGGTTGGGGTGGTTTGGTGGGTGGTGAAGTTCTGGGTCTGGGGGGGCCAGGAAACCTGAGCTGGGGCGGCACAGCCTGTACCCAACCAGACGAACACGAGGACGGGCCGGCAGACTCCAGGAGCAAGAACGTTTAGGCTCTCTTACAACGGCAGAGCACGCCAGGACCTTCGCGAGGGAAACATGCAACGGAACAAAAATCTAAAGAAGTTTCGAGCGATGAAGAGGAACTGTGGCAATTTTGGCGGGCGACCTCAGTTTGTGCCGCTCGAAGTCCCTTCTGCAGGGGTGGCTGGCAAAGACATGTACCCAGCCCCGCAGATAGCACGACTCGGTCGTTCGTTGTTCGGCTGCGGCGCGGTCCACGCGACACCGATTTAGGTGTCGTAATGCCTCCGCCATTCCAGAAAGCCGTTCCGGATGGAAGGCGGAGATTCCAGACACGGGGCTCAATTAGATAGCGATCGTGCCGACTACTGTTTTCTCGATACCTCCCAGAGATGCGCAGGGCCGACCGCGACCCCCCGAAGAAAAAGAGTCGGAGAGGTTTACCCCACCTTCTTGTGGTCGCTCGAGATCCAGATGCTCTCGCCAGGCCAGAATGCGCCCAGAATCCGCCCGTGGACACGTGGTCCACCTGCCCAGCCAGGGGGCGGGCAGTGGCCAGACAGGACCAGCCGAAGAGACCATCTACGGGGTGCAAGCGAAGCCAAAGTCTGCGTTTCTCGAAAATGCGGGGGGCCTCAAGAAGAGATCTGGCCGGCCGCTTGTTCATTTCTCCCCGGCCCCTTGGCGGGCCAAAGGGACAGCGGCTCTGGACCCAGACCCCCGAGGTCGCCATTGTTTGGCAATATAGACCCCGCGACGACGCGCTCGCCGCCGTTGGCCCCCGAGGAGCCTGTCCTTCATTCCTAGAGTTCCAGAACCGTGCGGTGACGGACCGCGCGGGGCTGCCGTCTGGGTATTGACTACCTACCAGACCACCCCATCCCAACCCGAAGACCCGAATTTCGGGTTGGGGGGGGTACGGGTTCCACGCGTGTTTTCTTAATGTTCCCCGACCCCCCCCCTGGAAATGGATGGCGAATTGAGGCCTTCGGGTTGGGTTGGGGTGGTTTGGTGGGTGGTGAGGTATGGGCTTCCCATAATTCAACAAGTCGGAACAGGCGAATTATTATGGGAAACGGGGGGGCCCGCGGCGTTGTCACCACGTTTCCCGAAGTTCGAGTTCCGAAGGATGGGAGACCTGGAATCCACCACAAGAGAGGCAATTGTTTTGAGCTGATTCCAGGTTTCCCACAGGTCGGAATTGTGGGAAACCCAGAATCAGCCCAAAACACTTTTTTCTTGTGGTGATTCCAGGTTTTGGGGGAAGCGGGGTCGGCAGATCCCCGCAATGCGGAAAGTTCCCCGCAATTCGAATTCAGAGCTTCGGGGAAGGGAACCAGTGGGGAGAGGCGGCTGGGGGGCTCGATCGAATGATGGGAAACCTAGAATCACCATGAAAAACCGCACTCTATGAGCTGATTCCGCGTTTCCCATAACTCGGAATTATGAGAAAGTGCGGTTTTTCGTGGTGATTCCAGGTTTCCCATCATTCGAATTCGAGGCTTCCCATATTCGAATTATGGGAAACATGGGACCACCACAAAAAAGACAAGGTTTTGAGCTGATTCCAAATTTCTCATAATTCCGAATCATAGGAAACCGGGAATCACCTCAAGGAGTGCGGTTCTTCGCAGTGATTCCAGGTTTCCCCAAATTCGAGCCCCTCATTTGGGGAACCGGGGGCGGCAGATTCCCGCAATGCGGAAAGTTCCAATTCATATTAAGAATTTCGGGGAACCAGGGTGAGAGGCGTCTGGGGGGTTCGAATTATGGGAAACTTGGAATCACCACCAAAAAAACGCACTCTATGAGCTGATTCCAGGCTTCACATATATGGGAAACCCGGAATCAGCTCATAGAGTGAAACAAATGTTCGTAGTGATTCCTAGTTTCCCAGTTCGAGCCCCTCATTTGGGGAAGCGGGGGCGGCAGGGCGGAAAATTCCCCGCAATACGAATTCAGAATTTCGGGAAACCAAGAGGGAGAGGCCGCTGAGGGGGGTCGAATTCATGGGAAACTGGAACCGCAACAAAGAATTCTACCCTCCCAGGGGTCCCGGGCAGTCGACTGGCGATGGGTTTTCCATAATTCGGAATTATGGAAAGCGCGTAGCCAGACGACTGCCCCGCGCGGTGCCCTCGAAATCCCAAACGACCTCACCGCGCGGTCCGTCACCGCACGGTCTTGGGACCTCTGAGGCCCTGGTGGTCACTCGAGACGTCCTCGGAGACCTCCAGGGGCCAAAATCATTGGTTTGTCCTGCGGTGTTTTCAAGGTTGTAGCGTTCGTGCCCTTCTCGACTCAGACGCCCATGACGGCCCAAGCAGCCTCCAAAATGGCCCCAAGGCGGCCCAGGAAGCTCCCAAGAGGACCCCAAGACGGCCCGAAAGGCCCCCAAGACGGCCCACGAGTGTACCGACACCCATTATCTCACACACTCATCGAAATTGTTTTGCAGACGCCAAAATTCCTCTGAACGCTTTACTCTGAATAAAGCTCTACAAATAGTCACGAACAAAACCTGCTACGTGATCAATATAAAATTGACAAAATAGTATTGAAAAACATGGAACCCCCAGGCGGCTGCGAGAGGCCCACAGGACGGCCTCCGAAGGCGCCAGACTGCGCAGGAGCGCTCCAAGACACCCTACGACGCCCCCGAGAGGTAAGGGGCCCAAAGAAGCCGAGGAGGAGGAGGAGGAGGACGAGGAGGACGAGGAGGACGAGGAGGACGAGGGGGAGGAGGAGGAGGAGGACGAGGAGGACGAGGAGGACGAAGGGGAGGAGGGGGAGGAGGAGGAGGAGGAGGAGGAGGAGGAGGAGGAGGAGGAGGAGGACAGGGGATCTCAGGGCAGGGGCCCCCAAGAAGCCCTCCAAGAGGCCCCAAAGAGGCTCCCATCGGGCCCCGCAACGACTGGGCTGCGCGTGCTCCGGACATGCGCCCCGCGAAGCGAGAGGAATCCACGTCCAGAAGGAACGTGCTGAGCGGCAGCGTTTCTCGGCGAACGCCATAAGGCAACGTATCCAACGTATACAAATATTGCATCAGTGCTACAGACTGTTTTGCTATACATTCTAATATACCCTCACGAACCCCCCTTCAAAGCCACGCCACTTCCGCCGACCAGGGTGCCCCCCCCTTCGGGGCTCCAAACCGGAAAAAAATGAAAACATATGGCTTGGGCCCCATGGGCCTCCTGGGGGTCTAAAAGGGCGCACGACGGCTCAAGATGGCATCAGTACGGGCCAAAAGACCCCGACACAGTCCAAGATGGCTCCAAAGGGCCCAAAAGACCCGCAAGACGGCCCACGAGGGCCCCAAGAGGACCCCATAAGAGCGCCTCCAAAGGCCAAAATCAGTGACCAAAATAATCCCACCAGCACTCTGGCCGACAGGTGGTCTAACGATGTCATCCTTTCCTCTTCCAGAACCCCTTCTCCCCCTTCGGGGAGGAGTTGCACCTGACGCACTCTGCACGTGCCCCGAACGTGGTGCACCTGGCGCGTCTGGAGTGTGCGGCACACCTGGCGCACTCGGAGCACGTGGCGCATCAGGCGCACCAGGCGTGCCTGGTACGCTCGGGCCCTAGGGGTGCCTGAGGCACGTGGCGCCCCTGGCACGCGTGGCGCACCTCGTCCAAGCGTCGCGCACCTAGGGTCGGCTTTGGTTCCCAGTAGCTGTCCATCCAAGGACGACCGCTGAACATGCTCAGGCTCGGGTGTTACTGATTTGTTGGGAGGGCGGGTGGGAGTGAGCTAGACGGCTTGCGGGCGGGTGGGTAGCTTGACCCCTCCCCCTACCCCCTCCCCCGGACCTGGACGGGGGGGTCCGCGAGCGGTCAGAGAGTCCAAGATGGCCCAAGATGGCCTCCAAGATCGCTCAAGATAACCCAACATGGCACAAGATAACTAACAAGATGCCTCCAAGAGGCACCAAGAAGGCCACAAAACGGTTCCAAGTGCTTTTGACGACACCTCAGGACCTCCCCGAGAAAAACCTAAAGAAAAACACGGATGTTTACATTCTCGCCTTTTTCGATTCCGATTGGCATTTGAGGCCCTAAGATGGCCCAAGAGAGCCCCAAGAAGTGACCAAGAGGCCCCCAAGACTGCCCCAAGAGCGCCCAAGATCGCCTCAAGAGGGCCCCAAGAGCGCCCAAAGAGGATATGTCGATGGCCCCGGAAGGGGGACCAAACGTTAGGACCCCCCCTTCCTTTGATCGACGGTCTCCAAGATGGCCCCAGGAGGCGCTCCATAGCTCCCGAGAGGGCCCCAAGAGAGCCCGACGAGAGCCCCAAGAGGGCCCCATAAGGGCCCCAAAAGAGCTCGAAGAGGACCCAAAAACCCTCCAAAGAGCCCCAAGAGGGAGGACCCCAAGATGTCCCAAAAGAGCTTCAAGAGGACCCCAACATCCCCCAGTACAGCCCCGTAGCTGCTCTGGACGTGCACCCCGCGAAGCAAGAGGAATCATCATAATCAGAATCATCCTTGTCATAATCCTAGTCATCGGCATCCTCACAATCATCATCACCATCACCATCCTCATCCTCGTTAATCGCTGTCACCAGCACCACTGCAATGACAATCAACATCCTCATCATCAGCAAAATATTCAAAAACACATCATCATCATCATCATCATCAGCATCATCATCATCAGCATCATCATCATCGTCATCATCATGATCAACAGCAGCAGCAGTATCCATATCATCACCATCATCATCATCAGCATCATCATCATCACCATCACAATCACCATCACCATCATCATCATCATCATCATCATCATCATCATCATCATCATGATCATCATCATAAGCAGCAGCCTCATCACAATCATCATCAGCAGCATCATAATCATCATCGGCAACAGCATCAGTATGATGAACAGCGTGAACATCATCATCATCAGCATCATCATCATAATCATCAACAGCATCAACATTGACATTATCAGTGTTATGATTGTGATCATCATCAACAGCATCATCAGCATCGTTATCAACAACAAGAAGAAGAACAATCACAACAACAACAGCAACAACAACAACAACAACATTTTCATCCTCATCCCCATCCTCATCCGCATTATAATCACAATCACCATCACCATAACCATCAGCATTACAGTCAACCCGTATCGTAAGGATGCGAGGTAAGGATGCCAGGGCCTTGGAAGGCCAGTTCGAAGCTCTTCGAGCGGGGCGCGGCCAACAAAAGTGGCCAAAGATGGGCCACAGAGGCAACGATGCAAGGGTACCCCTGCAAAGGTTGCCCATCCTTATTATGCGGGTTGACTGTACCATCATCATCATCATCATCATCATCATCATCATCATCATCATCATCAGCATCATCATCACCATCATCAGTATCATCACCACCACCATCATCATCATCATCATCATCATCATCATCATCGTCATCCATTGCATCATCAGCATCATCACCACCACCATCACCATCATAATCATCACCACCACGCCACCATTATCATCATCAGCATCATCATCAGCATCATCATGACCATCATCATCAGCAGCATCAGCATCAGCATCATCATCTTCATCTTCAGCATCATCATATTCATCTTCATTATATCATCATCATCATCATCATCATCATCATCATCATCATCATCATCATCATCATCATCATCATCATCATCATCATCATCATCCCCGCTCACGGTCGTCGAAGACAACGTCGACCACCATCACCACCACGGCGACGATGGCGGCGGCGACGGCGCGACGGCAGCGAGGGCTCCTCGAGCTCCTCCACAGGGGAGCCGTGCTCTGGCAGGCGCTGCAGCTGCGGTCAGTCGGGGCGGTCGCCGCCGCCGTCACCGGATGGTCGTGTCAGAATCGCCGTCACCGAAATCGTAGACTAGGCAACCTAACTTTGAGCATAGCGCCTCACGATGCGCGAGGGCGCGACTATCTTCGCGCCCTCGCGCCCCCACGCCGTCTCCCCTGGAGAAGGGCAGCCGCTCTGGCCGAGGCCGCGACGCGCGAAGGGTGGTCGATTTCGTGCCCCCGCGGGTGACCTTGGAGCAGGATAGAGGCTTTGGGTTCGCTTTCGGCCGTTTCTGAGCTTCTGAGGCCCACAGAGGCCTCCAGAAGCAGCCTCCTCAGGGGCCTCCAGGGCACACCCAGGGACCGCCAGCGGTCGACGTCGTTGTCGTCGCATGCGTTGCCGTCCTTGTCTCTTCCCCGTCTTCCTTCCCCCTACTTTCCCCCCTACTCTTCCCTGCGGTTTCCTCTTCCCCCTACTCTTCCCCCTCGTTCTGCCCACCGCCCTCCTCCATCCCCCCCCCCCACCCCTTCCCCCATCCACCTCGTTCCTCCATTCCTTTTCCTTATAAGCAACTTTTCCCTGTCGCACCCCGAGGCCAGATTCTAGACCGAGCTGGGCGTTCCGTCAGAGACGTCCTCACGATTTACGACTCTGAAGCTGAAACTATGGCAACAGTTACACGGATGGAGGGCGGGTCGTTTTCAAAATGTGGCTGTCGCCTTAGCGCCGTGCACATACTCTGTAAAAAATTGCAAGCCTCACGGATTGAGGGCGGGTCGTTTTCAAAATGTGTTTCTCGCCTTAGCGCAGCGCGCACTCGTTCTCAAAATGTGCAAGAGCTTCACGAATTGAGGGCGGGGCGCTTTCAAAATGCGGCTCTCGTCTTAGCGCCGCGCGCATTCCTTGTAAATTACCCTGTGACGTACCCAACCCATTTGTATCATGGGAAACGAGGAGTTGGCCAATACTTGCACGGACAATCAAATTGCAGGATGCGTTGTTTGATATGTAAGCTACTTGGGACACGCGCCAATGGAATGATGTGCAGGAGAACCATACAAGAACGAGGGGCGACAACTACAGGCTCGAAGAAGACATGGGGAGTCTGGCACGAAGAGCAGGAGAAAGACGTGCGGGAAACCCACTGTGCTGGGCCCCCCAGCAGCCCTCGAAAGCGGCGACAATTTCACAGATCGCAGCCCCCCAGGGACGGCGAGGTCCCATTTGAATCCGCCGTGGGTACCCACTGCGCTGGGCCTCCCAGCAGCCCTCGAAAAGGTGCGACAGTTTCACAGATCGCAGCCCCCCCCAGGGATGGCGAGGTCACATTTGAATCCGCCGTGGGTACCCACTGTGCTTGGCCCCCCAGCAGCCCTCGAAAGTGGCGACCGTTTCACAGATCGTAACCCCCCAGGGATGGCGAGGTCCCATTTGAATCCGCCGCGGGTGCACACTATGCTGCCCCCCCCCCCAGCAGCCCTCGAAAGCGGCGACAATTTCACAGATCGCAGCCCCCCAGGGATGGCGAGGTCCCATTTGAATCCGCCGCGAGTGCACACTGTGCTGGGCCCCCCAGCAGCCCTCGAAAGTGGCGACAGTTTCACAGATCGCGGCCCCCCAGGGATGGCGAGGTCCCATTTGAATCCGCCGCGAGTGCACACTGTGCTAGGCCCCGTAGGAGCCCTCGAAAGTGGTGACAGCTTCACAGATCGCAGCCCCCAAGGGGTGGCGAGGTCACATTTGAATCCGCCGCGAGTGCACACTGTGCTGGGCCCCCCAGCAGCCCTCGAAAGTGGCGACAGTTTCACAGATCGCAGCCCCCCAGGGACGGCGAGGTTCCATATGAATCCGCCGCGAGTGCACACTGTGCTGGGCAGCCCTCGAAAGTGGCGACAGTTTCACAAATCGCCCTCCCCCCCCCCCTTCCCCCAGGGATGGCGAGGTCACATTTGAATCCGCCGGGTGCATACTGTGCTGGCCCCCCCAGCTGCCCTCGAAAGTGGCGACAGTTTCACAGATCGCAGCCCCCCAGGGATGGCGAGGTCCCCTTTGAATCCGCCGCGAGTGTACACTGTGCTGGGCCCCATAGCAGCCCTCGAAAGTGGCGACAATTTCACAGATCGCAGCCCCCCAGGGATGGCGAGGTCTCATTTGAATCCGCCGCGAGTGCACACTGCTGGGCCCCCCAGCAGCCCTCGAAAGCGGCACCAGTTTCACAGATCGCAGCCCCCCAATGATGGCGAGGTTCCATGTGAACCCGCCGTGGGTACCCACTGTGCTGGCCCCCCCAGCAGCCCTCGAAAGTGGCGACAGTTTCACAGATCGCAACCCCCCAGGGATGACGAGGTCACATGTGGATCCGCCGTGGGCACCCACTGTGCTGGCCCCCTCAGCAGCCCTCGAAAGGGGCGACAGTGTCACAGATCGCAGCCCCCAGGGACGGCGAGGTCACATTCGAATCCGCCGCGGGTGCCCACTGTGCTGGGCCCCCCAGCAGCCCTCGAAAGTGGCGACGGTTTCACCAATCCCCCCCCCCCAGGGATGGCGAGGTCCCATTTGAATCCGCCGCGGTGCACACTGTGCTGGGCCCCCCAGCAGCCCTCGAAAGTGGCGACAGTTTCACAGATCGCAGCCCCCCAGGGATGGCGAGGTCCCATTTGAATCCGCCGCGAGTGCACACTGTGCTGGGCCCCCCAGCAGCCCTCGAAAGTGGCGACAGTTTCACAGATCGCAGCCCCCCAGGGATGGCGAGGTCCCATTTGAATCCGCCGCGAGTGCACACTGTGCTGGGCCCCCCAGCAGCCCTCGAAAGTGGCGACAGTTTCACAGATCGCAGCCCCCCAGGGATGGCGAGGTCACATTTGAATCCGCCGCGGTGCGCCCCCTAGCAGCCCTCGAAAGTGGCGACATTTCACAGATCGCAGCCCCCAGGGATGGCGAGGTCCCCTTGAAGAGTGCACACTGTGCTTTCGAAAGTGGCGACAGTTTCACAGATCGCAGCCCCCCAGGGATGGCGAGGTCAATTTGAATCCGCCCGTGGCACACTGTGCTGGGCCCCCCAGCAGGCCTCGAAAGTGGCGACAGTTTCACAGATCGCAGCCCCCCAGGGATGGCGAGGTCCCATTTGAATCCGCCGCGAGTGCCCACTGTGCTGGGCCCCCCAGCAGCCCTCGATAGTGGCGACAGTTTCACAGATCGCAGCCCCCCAGGGATGGCGAGGTCCCATTTGAATCCGCCCCGAATGCACACTGTGCTGGGCCCCCCAGCAGCCCTCGAAAGTGGCAACGGTTTCACAGATCGCAGCCCCCCAGGGATGGCGAGGTCCCATTTGAATCCGCCGCGAGTGCACACTGCGCTGGGCCCCCCAGCAGCCCTCGAAAGCGGCGACAGTTTCACAGATCGCAGCCCCCCCAGGGATGGCGAGGTCCCAGTTGAATCCGCCGCGAGTGCACACTGTGCTGGGCCCCCCAGCAGCTCTCGAAAGTGGCGACAGTTTCACAGATCGCAGCCCCCCAGGGATGGCGAGGTCCCCTTTGAATCCGCCGCGAGTGCACACTGTGCTGGGCCCCCCAGCAGCCCTCGAAAGTGGCGACAGCTTCGCAGATCGCAGCCCCCCAGGGATGGCGAGGTCTCATTTGAATCCGCCGCGAGTGCACACTGTGCTGGGCCCCCCAGCAGCCCTCGAAAGCGGCGACAGTTTCACAGATCGCAGCCCCCCAGCTGGCACGCAGCGACGAGCGAGGCGAAAGGCAAGGGGGAAGAGAGGGGCGGGAGGGGGCGGGAAGGAAGGAAGGAAGGAAGTGAGGAAGGCGACGCGCGAGCAGTGCTCTATTCAACACGAGAACCCAACGCAGGAGGGTTGGAAAAACTGCAAGAGCTTCACGGATTGAGTACGGTTCCTCTTCAAAATCGCCACGCGCATTCGTTTATTACTCTTGCAAAAGCTTCACGGGTTCCCATGATCAACGTACCAGAAATGGTGTTTTGGAAGGGTTCAGGATGATGAAAGTGCAACAATTATGTTGATTCGCGGTGTTGAAGTCCCAGGAATGGCGTTCCGGCACGATTTAGGATCGTCAAGACACAACAGTCCAGTTGATCCGTGGTTTTGGAATTCCGAGAACCATGCTTTGGCGTGCTCCAAGAGTCTTCAAACGGTTGTCTTCCAACGAGGCAGTTTCTTCAGTGGGAATGAACCGATGTAGGGGCCTATGAAGAGAGAGAAAGAGAGATTGGAAGAAGGGTAGATTCTAACATCGTTAATGACTCTTGGGTTTACACTGGTCCTCCTCCTCATCTTCCTCCTCCTCCGAAAAGTGTTTGCACTTAGGGGCTCCTACTTTTTGCTAAGGAACTGGTCTTGCCTGTCGTTCTGGCGGCTATGCTGCCGCCGTCGCCACCCGTCGCCACCTCGTCGCCACCCGTCGTTTGGGCCTGCCGGTCGGTCGCAGCGCTCGTTGCCGCGCCGCGCCATAGCGCAGCGCACACTCGTCCCAAAAAAGAAAAGAGACTCTTTGGTGGAGAGCGGCTGCGTTCCGAGACTGGGCTCTCGCCGGAGGCACGGATGGAGGGCGGCCCCGCTTCACAAAGCGGGACCGTCGCTGGGCACTTCCCTGGACTCGATCGCCCCGCCCCCGTCGCAGTCCTTGCGGCTCGAAGGATGAAGGGTGGTTTCCTTTCAAACACTGGACGAGCGCGTTCCACTACTCGCAGGGTGCCTACTCGCAAATGGCCCGGATCCGCCGCGGGGGATCTACGATAAACTACGTCGACGCGGAGATGTGTTTTTCGGACGTTTGCGAGTAGGCACTTTGCGAGTAGAGGAACGCGCTCGGCGAAACACGGAGCTCCCAACCGAAGAGCGGGCCCCTGGGGCCCTCGTGTTTCAAGGGGGACGCCTCGCGCAGTGAGGACATAGCCCAGCGAAGGACCCAACCATCCGCGGCTGTGAGTCACGCAGTTGTGAGTACCGTCTGCGGTGGAGCCCCCATTATGGTTGTGGATGCCATGACAAT